TTCCGTAACGGGCTCTATTTTTTAATGCTTGCATAGGCCCTAAACAACCCTAAGCTCCTAAACCCTACAACTCCAGCCTTCTGCCAGGCACACTACGCACAGAGCGTGCTGGATTCGCTTTGGAGGCAGTTTAGAGAAAGGCCGGCGCTGGTTCCTTGTTCCCAAAAACGCCACCGGACCCTTTAGGGTCTATGGGTTTTAGGGCTAGGGTTTAGGGTTGCGAGATTAGGGTGTAGGGGCTGAAGAGTTCCGAACTTGGGGTTGCAGGGCTGGCGCTCCAATGTCTGAAAGATACCACCGGGTTCTCCGAAGTGAAAGCTGGGCACACATCCGTGGTTGACAAGAGTGTGACAGAAGAAGCGCCGAATTTGAGTGCTCTCATTTTGGACCCTTCGAGCCCCAAACAAAGCCTACATCCTGGAACCCTAAACTCTAAAACCCTAGAGCCTTAAACCCTAAAACCCCTGAACCCTAAACCCTCAACTGTTGAAGCACCGGGCCTGCCAGAGCCAGAACTCCAAAACCTGACATGGGGTTTGCGAAAGTACGGAACCCCAAATTTAAATCCCAAAATGTTAGGATTCCCATAAAATGAGGACCCTAGTAAGGTACCCCGAAATTTCGGAAGCCCCCACATCAAACCCCAAACCCGCGCAGGAATCCAGCCGCTTTGCAGGGCCCCTCCTCAGCGGAGGCCCGCCGCTGCCGACGGCACCAGGGTTGCAGAGGGTTTAGGGTTTATAGAGTTTGGGGTTTGGGGGTTTAGGGTTTAGGGTGTAGGGTTTAGGGTTAAGGGTTGGTCTTGCACACTAGACCCTACAACCTAAATCCCAAACCCTAAACCCTAAACCCTACATCCTAAACCCTGCATACACCCAAAGAAAGTGCCAGGCCACCAGTGGCGAAGCCCTCCGCGACTTCTTCGCCGCGGCAGTGACCTTGCGGCGGCGCTCGCTGCAACTTGGACCCGTGATGCTTTGTTGGGGTTTGTAGGGTTTAAGGACTCAGGGTTTTAAGGTTTATATAGGGTTTGGGGTGTTAAGGCTTAGGTTAGGAGGGTTTGTTTGTAGGTTTGGGGGGTTTTAGGGTTTTGTTTTTCGGGGCTCTGTAGCATATGCACCTGAACAGTCTAGGACTCGTTTTGGTTTAGGGTTTAGGGTTTAGGGTTCAGGGTTTAGGGATTGGGGTTTAGGGTTTAGGGTTTAGGGTTTTCCAGGGTCCATCCACTTCAATAGTGCAGACTTGGGTCACAAATCCCACCATTACAAGCTACTTTCCCGCCCAAGAATACCTTTTGTGGTTTTTTTTCGGGAGCACACTGAGCACATGGATCCTTGGGCATTGCCATCCCAGACCCCTATAGTAACCTGAGGTAGCGGATTAAGGGAGACCTTTAGGTTTTAGGGTGTAGGGTTTAGGGTTCGCAATCTCAGGGGATGCGATCCCAAAGGTTACTGGGTCCAACAAGTTCCCCAAAGGCATTGCAGCAGTGCATTAAGTTGTGGGGTTCTAGGTTCGACTTGGGGGGGCACAGAATTGTCGGGCTCAGAGGGGCCATATTTTAGTTCAGAGAGCTGTCCCCAACGCCTATCTGGCCTCTCTACCCCAAACCCTTCCCCTTGCAACTGCAGCCTAAGTCAACTTCATGAGTTCCTTCACGAAAGTCCCCTTTCGAGACCCCTAAGCGCTAGAACGCCCTCGGAAAGTCCTCAAATAAATCAACCCTTCACACATGCAACTCAACTCCCTCAGCCCCTCAACTGTTCGCAACATCTCAAGGCAGGAAGTCAACTCCTGGCGGGAGGCCGGCTCGATGGCCGAGAATGCGGGGCAAGGGGTTCAGGCTTGAGGAAGGCGCATGAAGCTCAAGAAGACATCTTGATCAGTTTGTTCGAACAAACCACTAGACCCTAGTCAAGCTGATTTTCATCCTAATTGAAAAAAGGTTACTACAACTCCTAAGAGCCCCATCTTGAAGAACTTGAGAGTGCTCCGAGGGTGTAATCAGGGTGTAGAGGGTTCAGGGTCTTTAGGGTGTAGAGGGTTTAGGGTGTAGGGTGTGGAGGGTGCAGGGTGCATAGGGTTTATGGTTTCAGGCCAGGCGCGCACTTGCATCCTATCATGCTGCGCCTCATAAACCCCCAAACGTCCATTCAAGCTGGGAAATACTGACACCCTCTGCATTGTAGGATCCCTTTGTGCGGTCAACGGCCATGTATGCACATACATATGTATGTATGTATGTATGTATGTATGTATGTATGTATATACATGTATATATATATAAATATATCACATACACATATTGTATGTTATGCACAAGGGCCCTCATTTGCATAGCAAACAGTCCTTTGAAACTTACCTCTTAGCCCATGATCAGTGCGAGGCTCCCATCGCTCAGCTCTTTACGGAGCCCCGGTCCTTCTCGCGGCGGCAGCGGGAGAGACTGCTGAGCTGGGACCCCGAGCTAGGGTTTAGGGTCTAGGGTTTATATAGGGTTTAGGGTTTAGGGTTTAGGGTTTTGGGCTTAGGGTTTAGGGTTTAGGGTTTAGGGTTTAGGGTAGGGTTAAGGGTTTAGGGACTGCTTGACCCGGCTCTTGGCCCCTTGCTGATGGTCGCGAAGCTCAGGGTCGAGGGGGGAAACGAACTTCGCTTTCGGCTTCGGATTCGAGGTCAACAGCTTGCTTGGGCCGAAAAAGGAGGGGTTTAAGGTCTAGGGCTTTGGGTTTAGGGTCAGGACACCGGTGAAAAGCCTAATGGTCGGTTCTAGGAGCATCCTGGTCATTCCCGAAGGGTACGATTCCTGTGTTCTGTCCATATACTTTGGCGTGTATAGACGACAGCGTCGGACTTGGCACATGCGAGAGCTGACGGAAGTAAACGATGGCAGTTATTGTTTTTGTTTCATTGGAGCACGTTGCCTATATTTTAGGGCACCACGAATCAAAGGGCCCACAAACGAGTTCAGACGAAGTTCCGATAAGGTCAAGCTTACCAGCGGCTGCTCGACGCGGGGCTGCCCCCGGAGGCCATGGAAGGGGTTGAAAAGTTCTTACTTTGCCTGTAGTTGAACTTTAAACTGTTCGGGTTTCCTTATTTAGTAGGAACAACATTTTTCCTTGGTTACTGGAGAAGTAAGAGTTCAACATATAACCAGAGGGGGGCGAGAAGGTTCCCCTGCAAGCCGCAATTTCAACAACAAGGGCAATCTTGTTTAGAGCCTGGGGCCTGGGCATTAGTTTAAGCTCTATATCTAGGGGTATTTGACAGATGAGCACATCGCCTTCTCGGACTGCCCTCCCCATAAGGGTCTTTCAGGAAAGCCTGATATATGGACCTAGACCCCATGCCGTTCCTTTTTTGTGGGGGGTACCGAGATTTCTTTATGCCACTTAAACTGAAAGCAAGATCGTTTGACTTTACGAAAGAATGCTGACAGGTGGCTTTCAACAAGCTGGACGTCGATGGAGATGGGGAGGCCGCCTCACTTCGTGGGCCGAAACCCCAAGGGTCCATGTACCTTTTGCTATACATTTGGGCCGCAAAGCTGCTGTATGGGAACTCCTTGAAGGCCAAAGGGCCTAAGTGTATATAGTATATTGGTACATGGACCCCTTTTGGAACGGGTGTCCATTGACGGGGTGAATCGACACGTTGCACCCTTCTGGGCATCCTAAACGAAGAGTACCTCTAATATGCTATACTGGAGGCCGCATGTTACAGGCTCATAACTTGCCGCGGATCCCCTCGGGATATTTCGCCGATACTTAGATTATCAAGAGGGACTTTGCAGCACCTACTTTGGGCACTCCTCTGAACTTAGAGACCTCAGGCCCTCCACAAAGAATCAACAGACCCCCAGTAAATCATATCTCCGAATCTCAAGCTGAAGCCCTCAAATCCCTCCCCTAACCCCCAAACCCAAGCGCCTACCTCAACCCTGGTTTATGTTCAAACGTGCCCAGACCCTAAAACTCCACATGTCCCCCAACACCCAGCTCGCCCCGGCGGACTTCGCGGCGGCGGGCCGCGTGGGCCTCATGCTGCCGGCGGAGCTGCTGCTGAGGCCGACAGAGGGAAAATTCGAGAGGGTTTCTGAACCCTAAGGGTCTACGCACCTCAAGAGTATATACTTGGGCCCGAAAGCTACTGTATAGGAACCCCTTTAAGGCCCAAGTAGATAGGTACATGGACGCTTTTGGGAAGAGGTCGCCTTGGACTTCATTGTGTGCGAGAAACCTCTTCCCAATAGAAGACTCAGCCGGTAATGCATGGAGGGGTCATTGTAAGGTTCTGAAGGACTTGTTTGGTTTAGTGAGGGTGGCGTTTCGGCAGTCATCGGCAAAAAACCGATCTGTTTCGGGAGATTGCGGTGCGCAAGCAAAATGGAAATAGATAATGCAAATGCAAAATCCTCTGCTGTCTGAGGCCTCATCTGCTTGCAACGCTTCAGTGAAAGTTTTGTGGCTAATCCGCCAAGTCCACTCTTTTCAATAAGCACCCTGGACACGAGGCTCTTTGAAACGGTGGATACGGCGCGGCGGGGCCTCATCAGCTTAGAGGCGGGGGAGCCTGAGATCAGCTTGAAGCCTTCAAGGTCACAAGGGTACTTCCCTCCTTCGGCTGTCCTATGTCTGTCTGGTTCGGCCTCGAGAATCCATGGGGATAGCCTGACCCGCTTGACAACAGGAAAGGGAGAACTGCCACGGGCAGTTTTCTTTGCTGGTGGGTGGGGCTCAGAGGGATCTTCTCCAAGGGCCGACAGGGCCTTGGGGTCTTGAGGATCTTGAGGTCAGAGGGTGGTTGACGGGCTTGCAGAATTCGGTGACCTTTGTGGGGTTGCGCGGGTTCTCAAAGTGCGCCTACTTCTCTCGACACCCTTCCTTCCCTTTACGGTCCAACAGCTGTAGGTGCTGTTTCGGACATTATATCGGGCCGAATTGTATCTTAGCAAGTAGCCATCAAGCATTCCGATCTCGGCTTGGTGCCTTTGCCGGTGAATGAGGCGGATCCTGATCTCCACTTCCCGGTTGCCCAGCTGGCCAGGACAGAGACGATGCTCCTTCACGCCATGGCAACAAGCGCCACACTGGAGCATCGCCAGCCGTCGGGCGTCGATTGTCACAGCTGAAGACAAGCCGCCCATCGCATTTCGCCACGAAGACTTGGCGCGAATGGTAGAGGAAGCCCGCGGCCCAGCTTCGCGAAGGTCTGGAATAATGGCTGGACTTGGACAGTCTGCCTATCAATATGCATATCGTTCATCTCTTCGTGGTTGGAGCCGCCATGTCGCCGGAAGGGTCCGAGAAAGGGATGGTAGAAAAGGGAGGCAATCTGATGTGGACGCTTGCCATTTATTAGACCTTGTTCTTGAGCAGGGCGGTTTGTGTGCCTATTCTGGCTTGCCCATGGAGCTGCTGAAGCCGCACTCACATTGGAGGGTTTCCATCGAAAGAATGGACAGCAGCCACGGGTATCTCAAAGGCAACTGCTGTCTTGTTGCCGCAGAGTTTAACTCAACAGTCCACAAGGTGGGTGATGACACGGCCAGTCTGGCCGGATCTGCGCAGTGGTCTAAGCAAAAGGTGTGGGAGGTTGTCCGTGCGCGGACGGAACAGGTGCAACTGCAAGGGTTGCACGGAAACATTGCTGTTGCAAGACGAAGGCCAGTTCAGACACGCGGCAGCAGATTCAACAGATACCGAGGCCCACATGAGGACGGCACATGGCGATGTGCACGCTGTGGGGTCTGGAAAGAGGTTACTCAGTTTAACAAGCAAACTGCGAGCAGTCGCGGTATACAAAGCCACTGCAAACGATGTAACACGGAATTCCTTTCCGCATATTTGCAAACTATACGGGGCCACGGGCTTGCATTGCTGGGAAGCGCCCGCCGGCGGGCATTGACAAGCACAAAACTCAATGGAAGTTTTGATCTCCAATTGTGCGACTTACTTGACATGCTGTGGCTCCAAGGTGGCCGCTGCTACTACTCCGGGGTGCCGCTACATTGTGCACGCGGCCCCGCGGACTGGGTCTGGTCCCTTGAACGCCTTGACAACTCCGTGACGTACACCAAGGAGAACTGTGTGTTGATTGCCCGAGAGTTCCAGACATCGGACCAGAGCCGCAACAAAGCAAGATATCCAGTGTTTGGCACTGCGCAGTGGTCGCGCAGCAAGGCCAGCCATGTTTGGGGGCCATACTTCTAGACGAAAGCCATCGGTGATGCACCGACAGCCTGCGCACCCGAAGTACCGAGCTGCTCTTGGAGGATCTGGAGCAAGGACTTCCTTCACCATTCAGATATTGTTTGCATTCAGGAATTCTCAGCTCGATGACTGCCTGCAATAAGAAGTTGAACAGGCCCACTTCTTTCTGGTGCTTCATCGAACTTCCTCGCAGAATCCGAGCCTGACTACTCCGAAGCCTTGTAGACTGTGTGTCGCCCGGAACACGCCTTGCAGCTGTACTTGTCGGATTGTATGAAGCGTGAAGTCCGCATAGTGGGAGTGTTGTTCTTAGTTTACAGGGTCCTTCGCCCTCCCCATCCTTGCATGCAGCAGAGCTTCCATTGTTGCACAGGAGTGGACCAGTGCCTTCGAGGTCACGAGGCCATCTGCTCTTTCGGGGTCTGAGCCTGAACTTTCAGGGCGGATTGGAGAGTGATTGCTTCACGCGCTTGATCTAGGATTGTGGCAAGCTGCATGGGGATCAGTGGTTCTTGGGTCTCCAATTTTGTTCAGGGATCCAAAGAATCCACTTCTCATCACTTCGCAACTAGTACCATGCATGTTCTGTCTAACCCCAAACCCCTCTCGCCCCTGCCCCTCCCGCAAAGAAGAGAATCTTGAACCCAAACCAGCCCAAAGGACACCCCCTCAACCCCCCAAAGAATCGCAAAACCTTGAACCCATGAACATGCGCTTAAGTCCTAGACCCTGAACTCTGAAACCCGAGCTCTAAGCCCTAAACCCGAAGCCCTCTAAGCCCTAAACCCTGGAGACCGTTATAAGCTCCAAGGCCTGTAAGCCCTAAAAAACCCTAAACCCTGAGAAGCCCTATGGCCTCTGAAGCACTGCAAGCCTAAACCCCCGCAGCCCCCTAAACCCTAAGCCATTTATGCCCAAACCCTAAACCCTATACACCCTAATCCCTATCCCGAAACCCTAAACCCTAGCCCTAAACCCTAAACCCTAAACCCCACGTCCGGGCGACGTTCGGAGGCCGCCCAGCAGCCCACCCGGCGGAGGCCTGGAGCCGCTGCCACCCCCGGAGGCCTTCCTGGGCTTTCTCTGTCTGTTTGGGGTTTAGGGTTTAGGGTTTAGGGTGTAGGGGAAAAGGGTTTAGGGTGTAGGGTTTAGGGTTTAGGGTGTAGGGTTTAGGGTGTAGGGTGTAGGGTTTAGGGTTTCGGGTGTAGGGTTTAGGGTTTTGGGTGTAGGGTCTATGTTTAAGGCCTAATTATGGGATTTATGGTTCAGGGTTCAGGGTTTTAGGGTAAAAGGGTTTAGGGTAAAAACTTGTTTGGTATTCTTTCCTTTGCGCTGTATAGGGTATAAGGCGGAGGGTTCGCGTTTAAGGGTTTAGGGCTTTCTCTGTCTTAAGAGTTATGTTTTGTTTTATTATCTCTCCCTTTTGCTTATATGTTTCAGGGCTTGGGGCTATTTTCTGTGATGTGTTATCGTCTTTCCTTTGGGCTTATGTGCTTGTAGGGTTTATAGGGTTTAGGGTTCAGGAGGTATCATAGGGTTTCGTGTACGTGGGGTTTTACTAGTAGCGCCAGGGTATTAAGGCTTGTCGTGTTTGCGTTTCTTGCTGTGCGTCCCAAAGGGTCCATGTACCTCATCAGTATATACTTGGGCCCTAAAGTCCCGAAATAGGAGGAACTTTTGGCCCAAGTATTCCTTATTTAGGTACATGGTCCCTTAGGGTCTGTGTGGGGGTAGGTAGGGCGGTTCCGTTTTACCAGGACTCGCGTGCGTCCGCCATGGTGTCGGTACGTGTTTTGAGCTTTCCGTTTCCGGGGCGTGGGGTGGGGATGGGGCAGGGGGGGGGGGGGGGGGGGGTGATTGACGATTTCCCGCTGCTGGTGCATTTGAACCTTAGGGGGAGTTCGGGTTCGCTAGGCCATGGGTGTTTTTCATTTTTGGGTCTATTGCTGGGGGCTTTGGCGCATTTCGGGCTCCATTTCTGGGATTTCTATGTGTGTTGGGCGTGGGGTGGATGATCCATGCCATACATGAATCCCTGCCTGCGGCAAGCTGCTTTGCAACCGCAGGCGGTGCCTTTGGATGTCCTCCGGAGCATCGTGCACCGGCCCCGGACAAGCATGTGCTCGAAGCCCCCGTAGCTTCTGTGCAGATTCCAGGCCTGGGTTTAGGGTTTAGAATTTAGGGTGAAGTGGATGTCGGACCCAGTTTTTATCTCAACCACCTCTGCCACGAGGATTGAGCTGGTTAACCACAGCACCTTCACGCCCGTGTGGACGTCCGAAGGCGGCTGGTGCTCGTGTGTGTGTGTGTGTGTGTGTGTGTGTGTGTGTGTGTGTGTGTGTGTGTGTGTGTGTGTGTGTGTGTGTGTGTGGTGTGTGTGTGTGTGTGCGTGTGTGTGTGCGTGCGTGCGTGCGTGCGTGCGTGCGTGCGTGCGTGCGTGCGTGCGTGCGTGCGTGCGTGCGTGCGGGCGTGCGTGGGCTTGGTGTGTGTGTGTGTGTGTGTGTGTGTGTGTGAAACTGTGTGTGTATCTGTGTGTGTGTGTGTGTATCTGTGTGTGTGTGCGTCTGTGTGTGTATCTGTGTGTGTGTGTGTGTGTGTGCGTCTGTGTGTGTATCTCTGTGTGTGTATCTGTGTGTGTGTGTGTATCTGTGTGTGTGTGTATCTCTGTGTGTGTGTGTGTATCTGTGTGTGTGTGTGTGTATCTGTGTGTGTGTGTGTGTGTGTGTGTGTCTGTATCTGTGTGTGTGTGTATCTGTGTGTGTATCTCTGTGTGTGTATCTGTGTGTGTGTGTGTGTATCTGTGTGTGTGTGTGTGTGTATCTGTGTGTGTATCTGTGTGTGTACCTGTGTGTGTGTATCTGTGTGTGTATCTCTGTGTGCATCTCTGTGTCTGTGTGTGTCTGTGTCTGTGTCTGTGTCTGTGTCTGTGTCTGTGTCTGTCTCTGTGTGTGTGTGTGTGTGTGTTTGTGTTTTGGAGCGTCGGAGTGGGGCGGGAGGTAGAGGTGGGCTTTTCAGACCAACTTCCTTGCTTGTTTGCTAAGGTTTGCTTTGGGCGCCCGTCAAGCAAAGTACTGCGTTCTGCCATGAAGGGAACCCCATAGCAGAGATAAACAATGACTAATTGCAAAGGGATGGGATCGATTCAGGCTTTCCGGTGCTTGCGCTCATCCATCTTGGAATTCCTTGAGCTATAGCTTCACGATACAGTCCCTGACTCGAACATCCGTTTTAGCCGAAGTGTGCCTCTGGCATGTTCTGCAGCGAACAGCAGGGTTTAGGGTTTAGGGTTTAGGGTTTAGGAAGGCTTTTTTCGGATCCTTGCGAGAGGTCCGCGGTTCCCGAATACTCCCTCACTACTCCCCAAGGCTCCCTGAGCTTCGCTAAACTTCCCTAGGTACCTACCCCCCCCCCCCCCCCCCCCCCCCCCAGAAACCCTAAACCCTAAGCCCTAAGCCTTGAACCCTAAACCCTAAACCCTAAACCCTAAACCCTAAACCCCCTCCCCTTCAGGACCCTATGAAAGTCCCGCAAAACCCGATGCCCTGATGACAGCTGTCGGCTCACAGCACAAGCCTGCAGCTGCATCAAGGAACGCTCTTGGCGTTTCTGGACTTTTGAGAGTCTTCAGGGTTTAGGGTTTAGGGCGAGTCTTCAGGGTTCTAAACAGCCGAAAGCTCTCATTCGGGCTAAGGAGTTGCCAGACTTCGCGCTCACGTGCTTGCGCAGTTTTCGCCTCGCCCCCTACATACCCCCTACCTAACATCAGGGTTTAGGTTTCAGGGTTTAGGTTTCAGAGTTTAGAGTTCAGAGTTTAGGGTTTAGTGTTTAGTGTTTAGGGTTTTAGGGTTTAGGGGTTCTTGGGGGTTCTTGGGGGGTTCGGCCTGCCGGAGTGCTTCGTGCGTGTGTGATTTTTTTTCTCCTTGCGCGGGGGCCCACACGGCCTGATCCTGCGTCTTCGGGAGCTCTTGGCATGTTCTTCTCGCTGCTTGGCAGCCCAGTGGTACCCTTTACCTCTTTTTTGGAAAACCCTAAACCCTGAACCCGAACCCTGAACCCTAGACCCTAAACCCTAACCCCTAAACCCCAAAGGGCTACTAAGGCTGGGATGCTTCGACATGCAGCCGCGCCGCTCCAAGCGCGCGCAGTCCAAGGCAGTCACGGGGGAGGCCGGAGAGCGGTTCAAGGGTTTAAGGTTTGGTTTATAGGGTTTAGGGTTTAGGGTTTAGGGTTTAGGGTGGTTTAGGGTAGTCTGAATTAGGGTTAGGGCCTAGGACTCATAGGGGGCTCTTCCACCCCGAAAGCCCGAGCCCTCAGCCCATGAAGGCGTAGTGTTCTTTTGGCCCTTCGGTTGTTCAGAGTTCAGAGCTGGAAGACAGGCAGGCCCTGGAAAAACCCTAGGAACTTGGCAGCCCACGGGGACCTTCTGCCCCCGCCCCCCTTTTCTTGGTTCCAGGCTCTCTGATTAAAGAAACCCACGCCAAAAAAAATTGTACCCTTGTGACAATATGCTTCCTGGGCTACCCTCACTTCTGCACCCCGAAGGCAGGCGGTTTATGGGGACAAGACTCCCTGAGTAAGATTCTCAGGCCACCTCTGACGTCTCTTGGGCCACTTAAACCTTCAACCTTCAATTTTGCAATCTGAACGCTTAATTAGACTCAACTTTGCACCTAAGTCCAAAAATCTGCACGAGCTCTGCAACCTACAAGCCCTAAACCCTGTACATCCTAAACGATGTATGAGCCCGAAACCCCGAAACCCTAAACCTTGTAAACCCTCGAATCCCTACGGACTTTAAGCTCTAAGGACCCTAGATCCTGGAAGCCCTAATGCTCCTAAACCCCAAACCCTTAGATCCCTAAACCCTTGCACCCCCGGCTGCCCCTGGACGCTAAACCCTACCCCTAAACCCTAAACCCTAAACCCTAAACCCTAAACCCTAAACCTAAAACCCTAAACCCTAAACCCTAAACCCCAGCTGTCAGGTGGTTGCAGTCTCCTCGACATCGTCCACAGAGAGCCTCGGGGCGCGTCGCGCGCAGGAGAAGGAGTTCGTACAGAAGCATGACTCCGAGACAAGTGAGGCCCTGTGGGGTTTATACGGCATGCTTTTGCATGTCCTGGAAGGCCCACCCACCCTCCCCCCCGAATGCATCACTTTGTGACAGTGTGTGGGTACAGGGATCGATTTAGAGTATCATGAGTATTTTTGCGCGAGGCGACTTCCCAGAAACCTGCTCACTGTCATCTTGAAAGAACGAGAAAGCCCTTCTCCGGACTCAAAAGTCGCCAGGTTTGGTATTTGGTGTGTTCCGCCTGGTTAGACAAGTGGAAGGCCTTCGCTCCTTGGATACTGTTGCAGAGACTCTTCCTTGGGCTTCGGGCTTGATTTGGGGTTTACGGAAATAAGGGACCTTTACCAGGATGGGCTTTTATGCCCTATAATCCCTTAACAGGCCCTTTATCGGGTTCATTGTGGGGATTTTATCGCCTCTAGCCCATCCTGGTATATAGAGTAGGCTTCCCTTAGAATCAGGAATTCGGAAACCCCCATTACCAGAGAGGGGAGTGGGATCTCCTCGACTTCGAGAACTCGAGGGCTCCAATCCAGGCCTTCGAAGCCCAAATCTGTAGTTACTAAGTCTAATGTTTAGGGTTTAGGGCTTAGGGCTTAGGGTTTAGGGCTTAGGGTTTAGGGCTTGGGGCTTAGGGCTTAGGGTTCTAGATCTTTCGAAGTTCGAGCCTCTGCGTATCTAAGGGAAGTTGCATGGCCCCTCACCTTCTTTCAAGAGTTCTGAAGTATGGGCACTTGGGTCTTATGCGCCGTATAGGGGGGGTATATAGGGCTGGCCCATGAAGGGGCATGTTAAAAGGGACCAAGAAACTACCTTAAGAGTGTAAAGGTCTTCCATCTGCAATACAACTTTCTATATGGACCGCAAGACCTGAAAGCCTTTGTTCACGCCTTTGAAAACGCAGAAATGCAGCTATTTGCACGATTTACAACACAGAAATGCTGCTATTTACAGTATTTTTCAGCCTCTAAAAAAACGCAGAAATTTTGCTAGTTATTGCAGTATTTGCTGCCTCTGAACACACGGAAATGCTGCTATCTACAGTATTTGCAGCCTCTGCAACCCAATATTGCCAACCCAAGCCGAGCCACACCTCTAACGAAAACAGCAGGCCTGAGCCACACCTTCAAAAAAGAACATCCGCCGGCTAAACCACCAAACCCCTCCAACCCTCGAAACCCTCAGCCAAGGTTAGTGGCAAGGGGGGTCTCCCCGGGCCCATCACCAACGAGACTCTCGTCCGCCCGGACGGATCCCCGCTGCCCGGCAAGCGGGCCGTTGAGCACCTTGGGAGCCCTGTGGTACCGTTTCTTTTCTTTTTTCGTTTGTTTCAAGGTCCCCTTATCAAGTCCCTAAACCCTAAGCCCTAAGCCCTAAACCCTAAACCCTAAACCCAAATAAGGGTGGCCTTATTCTAGTATGGTTGCTGGGATACCAAGGCACTTCCGGGGCGTGAACCCAGAAGTGTGGCAGCCGCCTGGACTGGAGACACGTAGTTGTGGGTATGGATGGAAGGTCTACCAGGAGGGGGCCCCTTACTATACTAACTGTAGTTAAGGGACTTATATCCTAATTTAGGATCCTTATAACCCAAATTAGGGCTCTTCTAACTCTACTCGTAACTAGGGGGCCTCCACCTTGTACCTGCCTAGGTTTCGAGATTAGCCGGTTCGATTTCTCCATCCAAGGAGAAGCCAGTCTGTTGGACGCCTCTTTTTGGGGCTTCATCCTAGTTCCTAAGCCCGAGAATCCTACACCCTAAACCAAAGCACTGCTAGTATTAGGGTTTAGGGTTTAGGGAGTTTAGGGTTTGGGGTTTAGGGTTAGGGTTTAGGGATTAGGGGAACATCCCAATGCATGCTGCTTGAGGTACTTGCAGTCCCGCCACGGGGGAGGGCCCGAGATCGTGCGCATGAAGCGCCTCGGAGGGCCTTATGGCGTTTGCAGGGCTTAATCAGGTTTAATAGGGCTTATAGGGCTTATGTAGTGTTTAAAAAGCTTAATAGGGCTTATGAGGCCTTAGATGGCTTACAAGGTTAATCGGTAGGGCTTTAGGGATTTTAGATTCAGGTGGGTCTATAGGGTTCCGTGGAGTCCGGGGAGTTCAGCCTCATGTAGGGCTCGTAGGCTTTGTGATTCTGCATTCTGAGGATGGATTTAGCCTGGCCTTTCGGATTTCGGGTTTAGGGTTTAAGGCTTAAGGGTCATGAGGGTCCATTGGGTGCATTGCTTCGGGTTCCTAGGGATAAGCAGGTTTATTTATTTTTCATGAGCGCATGGCTCAAGGTAGGGCAGTACAGGTCTTGGGGCCTAGCATCTGCCAAAGCAAATTAAGACCCTCAACCCTACAATCCGAAATCCCGAGGCAAATCTCACGACCCCAAACCCTAAACTTTCTCAGATTCTCAGACCCTAAAACACTGAATCCCCAGGCAAATCAAGACCCAAAACCCTCAGACTTTCTCAGGCCCTCAGACCGTGAATCCCGAGGCAAATCTCAAGACCCTAAACATTCCCAGACCCTCAGACCCTAAAGCACTGAATCCTGAGGTAAATCTCAAGACCCTACACCCTCAAACTTCCTCAGGCCCTCATACCCTAAAACGCTGAATCCCGAGTCAAATCAAGCCCCCTAATCCCTCAAACCCTCAGACCCTCAGACCCTGAACCCCGCAGCAAATCTCAAGACGCTAAACCCTACACTTCCTTAGACCCTCAGACCCGAAACCCTAAACCCTACGACCCTCCCCTAATTTCTCAAACCCTCAAACCCTAAAGTTATGAAACCCTAAACCCTACGACCTTCCCCTAATTCCTCAAACCCTCAAACCCTCAAACCCTCAAACCCTCAAACCCTCAAACCCTCAAACCCTAAAACCCTAAAGCCCTAAAACCCTAAAACCCTAAACCCTAAACCCTATAAAGCCCTGAATCCCCAGGCAGATCAAGCTCTACGTCGACAGCCCCACCTCCCGGCCGAACGCCTGGTCCAACGCCCCGCCCATCTCAAGCCGGGCAAGTTGACAAATCCAGTCCCTAATCCTTAAACCCCAAACCCTAAACCCTAAACCTTAAACCCTAAACCTTGAACCCTAAACCTTAAACCCCAAACCTTAAACCCTAAACCCCCCCCCAAACCCGTGGCTGTTTCTTGATATTCCGAGTTTTTGGTCAACCCTAAACCTCTGGTGACCTGAGCCCTGAACCCTTGAATGCCTTTTGAAAAAGGTCTGGGTCCTCTGAAGCCCTGGAAGGCCATGAATAAAATAAAGTTCAGGGTTTGGGGTCTATAGGGTTTAGGGTTTAGGGTTTAGGGTTTAGGGTTTAGGGTTTAGGGTTTAGGGTTGCCATGCATACATATACGTGTGTAAATAAGCGTGAACAAAGCGTTAAGACTCTCGAATGCCTCAGCTTTAAATCTCTCAGGCCCTATCTCAGGTCTGTTCGGACTCCTAAACCTTAAACCCTAAACCCTAAACCCTAAACCCGAATTCCAGGGAGTTAGAGATCTTGTGGGCAGGTGCCTTTGCCATGGCAAAGTCGGCGTTCACGGCGTCACCGGGTTCTACGACCATGTCTCCCGCCAAGAGCAAGTCCGTATCGACGCCGGTGGCATCGCAGGGCAAGGTCACCTGCGACAAGTGCGACGGCCCGCACGCGACGGAGAAGCTTGACTGACATTGTCTGAAATGTAATCCCGATCTCCTCCCGCCAATACTACCCTAAACCCTACAATAGAAGCCCTAACCCTAAACCCTCCCCCTAAAAACAAAAAAGAAGGATCTACAGTGGGGGCCGCAGGGTGTTCAGGTATGACCTGAGACATCTGGGGGACTGAATAATGTGGTATCCTGATTAGTGTGAGGGGGCCCCCCCCCCCCCCCCCCCCCCCCCCCCAAACTAAATCCACCCCCGTAATAGTGTTTAAAAAAAGGGACCCCCCCAAACTAATTTTCGGCCCCGGGCCCCCCCCCCACCGGCTCCTCTTCATTTCCTCTTCGCTTCCCTCTCCTCTTCCTCTCCTCTTCCTTTCCCTCTCCTCTTACATAATTAAGCTCAGGTAAGCTCAGATGAGCTCAGCTCAGGTAAGCCCCCCCCCCCTCCCCCCGAAAACCTTGACATTATTGTGGGGGTGCAATTTTTTTTTTTTTAATGGGGTTCGGGGCAGCACGTGGACTACCCCCTTCAAAATTTGATGGCTAGGCCTCCTCAGATAAGCGAAGTCATAAGGAATCCTTGTTTTCCGGCCTGGTCGTCGACCCTGAACCCGGAAGCTTGAAGGCCCGCCCCCCCCCCCCCCCCCTCCCCCCGAAAACCTTGACATTATTGTGGGGGTGCATTTTTTTTTTTTTTAATGGGCTTCGGGGCAGCACGTGGACTACCCCCTTCAAAATTTGATGGCTAGGCCTCCTCAGATAAGCGAAGTCATAAGGAATCCTTGTTTTCAGGCCTGGTCGTAGACCCTGAACCCGGGAGGTTGGGGATGACAGCTCAGAACTCCGACTTGAAGCTGCTCTTCTTTTGCTCTTTTCTTTCATCATCTTCTTCTCTTTTTTCTCTGTTCCGAAACCCATGCCCGAAAAACTTTACTTTATTGTGGGGGGGCAATCCAAATTGGGTCTCCTGAATAATTTTTGGAAAACTTTTCATTATTGAGGGGGTCCAGACTAATCAGGATACGACATTATTAGTGAGCCTATGACATGCCTGGGGTTCACAGGGTTTAGGGTTTAGGGTTTAGGGTTTGGGGTTTGGGGTTTAGGGTTTAGGGTTTGGGGTTTAGGGTGTAGGGTTTTGGGATGGGCCCTTCATATGGTCCCCTACCTCCTTCAAAGGGCTCCGAAGGATTGGCCCTTGGGTTGTCTAGGGTCAAGTAAGGGCCATACCGGGGACCATGTTTGGGGGACAAGGTTTGCCCACGAAAAGAAGAGGGTTTTACCTAAGCAGCTTTTTCTTGCACCCATGGACCTCTCTCTAGCACACGGCGTTTTGTTGAGTCCAGTACGGTTTTTCGGGCTACCTTGGGGTTTAGGGACCAAGGAACGTCGGGTCAGACATGCGCCGTCCCATGCATCTTAGATGGCCCTAAGTCCCGAGACCGCAAACCACAACCCCCCCCCTCCCCCCGGCCCTAACCCCTAAACCCTAAACCCTAAACCCTAAACCCTAAACCCTAAACCCTAAACCCTAAACCCTAAACCCTAAACCCCCCAAACCCTGAACCCTAAACAAACCCTAAACTCCCTCAACCTGAATCTCTGTATTCCCAAGCAAAAAGGAATCCAAGCCCTAACAGCCCTAAACCCAACCCTCAAAACCCCCAAACCCTTGCAAACTAGAAACCTCAACAGACGAAGTGCTGACACCCCAAGTGCTGCAGAGCTCCCCTAAACCCTAAACTCTAAACCCTAAACCCTAAACCCTAAGACCTTACTCCGAAGACCCTACGACAACCCTAAAGGCCTAAGGCCTGAACCTCGAGGTCTTGGGTTTCGGGTTTAGGGTTTAGGGCAGTTTAGGGTTTAGGGTTTAGGGTTTAGGGTTTAGGGTTATTTCCTGCACAATCGAACAACTTCAAGCTCAGTGTTCCGAGTAGGTGCCTCCTTGCCTCGGCAGGTACTATACAAGGCCACCAAGGCAAGCCTTGCTTTTCCCCTAGAAAGCTCCGCCAGCAAAACAGGCCCTATAAGCCCAACACCAAACCCTGGAACCCTGGAACCCTAAACCCTAACCCCCCTGAACCCTAAACCCTAAACCCTAAACCCTAAACCCTAAACCCTTATTAAACCCTAAACCCTAAACTCAGAGGACGTGCCCGCATTTCGAGAAGCCTCGGGACAAGCATCCCGACGCCTGGCGCCTCGCCGTCCGAAAGGGCCCTTTTGTAATTGCCCAAGTCGGGGGGAGTAGGGGTTTGGGGTTTAGGGTTTAGGGTTTTGAACCCTACCCCTAACACTTAAACCCGAGAATCCTAAATCCAAACGAACCCAGCAAACCCCCCAAAACCACCTAAACCCCGAAAGAAAGCCACAGGTGCCTCAAAGGCAAAAGCCACCTCGTGGCCGCAGCAGAGCTGGAGGAGGCGAAATTCGTTAGCCGTGCCCGTGTGGTGCGACAGCCAGGACATCATTGGGGCACACCCCCCCCCCCCCCCCACCCTTAAAGTTTAGAGTTGAGGGTTTTGAGGGATGAGGGCTTAGGGTTTAGGGATGAGGGTTTTGTTTTGGGGCTGAGGGATGTGGGTTTAGGGTTGGGGGTTTATTTGGCTTGAGGGTTGAGGGTTTAGGGTTGAGGCTTGAAGGTTGCGCATTTAGGGTTGAGGGTTGAGGGATGAGGGATGAGGGTTCGGGGCTTAGGGTTGAGGGTCTAGAGCTCAGGGCTTAGGATTGAGGGTTTACAGTAGGGTCGAGGGTTCCCTAAGCTCAATCAACCCTGAACTGGCTCTAAGTGGGTCATCAGAATTTGTTGAAGGGGGTGGGGAACCGTGGCAATCGCAGGGGATCGAGCTAAAGTACAGTAGCGAGAGGTCTTTGGAAACCCCAAACCCCAAACCCTACACCCTAACCCCTACACCCTATACCCTAAACCACCCAAACCCGTGGCTCCCGTATGAGGAGACGGCTCGTGCCTCTTCCACTCCGTGTCCTACGGGCTCGGCGATGGTAGCGCCTCAACGAGCTCTTATGAATCCTACACCCTAAACCCCTGACCCGAAACCCTGCAACCCAAAACCCTAAACCCTAACCCCATACACCCAAAACCCCTAACCCAAACCCTGAACCCCTAAGCCCTAAACCCTGAACCCCAAAAGCCCCTGATCCCGAAAGCCTAAACCCCTGAAACCTAAACGCCTCAACCCTAAACCCTAAACCCTAAACCCTAAACCCTAAACCCTAAACCCTAAACCCTAAATCCCCCTTTGGAGATCGACCTCTGCCCTGACTCAAGGTACAGCCCACTCGCTCCGAAAAGGCGTTGCCGATACCATCTCCGGACAGCCGAACATGCTTCTGGGTGTGGTCTTAAGTGTCTTAAGGGTTTAGGGGTTTAGGGTTCAGGGGTTTAGGGGTTTAGGGTTTAAGGATTTAGGTTTTAGAGGGTTTAGGGGGTTTAGGGTTTAAGGCAGCCCGGAAGGTTCTTTGCTAGTTACACATACTGCATTCCTACGCTTACGGTTAAGCGCGTGTGTGTGTGTACATTATATCAATATTCATATGTATATATATATACACACATATGTTGTGTGTGAGGGCTTATTTATATGTGCATAAAGCGATTACATTTTTGTTTGTTTAGATATCTTATCTACAGCATTTATTCATGACATTGTTTGCGCTATTCTTCTCTGTCTTTGGTGAAGAGGATCCTCCGTCCCACGTGGGTAGTTCTGCATCCTCATAGTAAGGACTCTAAACCCTAATCCCTAAACCCTAAAGCCTAAACCCCTAACCCCTAAACCCTTAAGTTAAGCCTAAACCCTAAACCCCAAACCCCTAAACCCCTAAACCCCTAAACCCCCTTAACCCCTAAACCCTAAACTCTAACCCTAAACCCTAAGCCCTAAACCCCTAAACCCCTAAACCCTAAACCCCTAAACCCTACACCCCAAACCCCTAAACCCCTAAACCCCTAAACCCCTAAACCCCTAAACCCCTAAACCCCTAAACCCCTAAACCCCTAAACCCCTAAACCCTAAACCCCTAAACCCCCGAACCCTAAACCCTAAACCCTAAACCCTAAACCCTAAACCCCAAACCCCAAACCCAAGGCAGATCCTGGACACGCCCCTTGCGGAGTGGATTCGCATGGATGCCAACGTCGGGGTGAACAGCTATGTGCAGCGACTCCGAGGAGGTGCCCCAGAAGAGGAGTTTAGGGTTTAGGGTTTAGGGTTTAGGGTTTTTCGAAGGTTTTGGGGGCTTGAAGGGGGATTTAAGTGCTTTGAGGGTTTATGATGGTTTTTGATGGTTTTGGTGGCTTTAAGGGATTGAAGGGTTCAGTAAAGCTTGGGGCTAGGGCGTCTCGCATGAGAGCCTAGAGCAGGCTTTGAAGATGTGGCTTTGTTTGGACTCTGCGTTTGATAGAGTTTAGGCTTTAGGGTTTAGGCTTTGGGGTTTAGGGTTTAGAGTTTAGGCTTTAGTCGCAGCTTGTTGGTCTTTCAAGCGGGGGTGTGGGATAAAGGGTTGAAGGTTTGGGGTCCAAAAGGGCCTTGCAGCCGGGCTTAAGAAGGTGTCATAGGGATCAATGCTTTTGGCAGGGTCTGCAATTCTTGGCTTTCTTCTGGCTGGCTCTTAGGACTTTAACCTTTCCGGTTTTGTAGAAACTACAATAGGGCGCCTACAACTTTAACTTGCAGGAGACGTTCAGAAGTCCGCCCAAGAATTTGCCTTTATGGTTTAGGGTTTAGGGTTTAGGGTTTGGGGTTTCCTTATCCAGTGGGAACAACGGAGTTTAACCTTTTTTCCCCTCGCCTATTGGAGAAGCAAGGTAGCGTCTGCAATTGGCCCTGATTGGGTTTAGGGCTGTTTATGGGGGTTCGGAGTTGCGGGTCGAGCCTCGGCTTCCGAGGACCAATTTTCTACGGTTTGCTCAAGAACACCCCCATAAAATAGATGATCTATAATATATATATATATATACATATATATATGTACATATACATTTGTATATGTATATGTACATATATGAGCTTGTGGGGGGGGGATTCTTAAGCAAGTAGTTTAAGGTTCAACAGGCTTAAGAGGGTGTCAAAACTCTTGATTGGCTGGAAAGCGGTTTTCCAGGGGTTCAAAGCGCTTGCTCGGGTTGAGGGGGGCAGCAGGGTAGCACGCTCTAAGGGTTTTTAGGGTTTAGGGCTTAGGGTTGGGATGTTTCGCCTTATACTAACAGTCCTTAACTTGGGATTTTAGTAGAGGCTACTATCATCCCTATTAAGGACTGTTAGAATAAAGGGGGGGACATCCCAAGTTTTTTGGCTTGAAGTGCCGAAGCCCCCAACTCACTGAAAAGGTGCCTGGGGAGGAGGCATTGAGCTCGCGGTCCTTGCCCAGATGAAGAAGGCCAGAGCCCTAAGCCCTAAGCCCTAAACCCTAAACCCCAAACCCTAAACCCTAAACCCGAAACCCTAAACCCTAACCCAGAGGTTTGGGGTGTCAGGCATTGAGGACTTTTAGGACGCGTGGCACCTAGATCGGGTCCCAACAATACAGGCCTAAACCCCCTAAACCCTAACCTCTAACCCCTATAGACCCTAAGCCCTAAACCCTAAACCCTAAACTCCAAACCCCAAACCCCAAACCCCAAACCCCAAACCCCAAACCCCAAACCCTAAACCCTGAACCCGAGCAACTTCCCGAAGGTTAGCATCGAAGTCTACGAGTCCCGTCGGGGCGGATTCTCCCGGATCGCGCGGTTTGGTTCCAATGGACGTGTCGTGCCGATCCTCTATCAGGCTGGGTTCCTCAGAGCCCTAAGGGGTTTAGGGTTTAGGGTTTAGGGTTTCGGGCCCTCAACCCGACACGCCTGTACATCCTAGAAGCCCTACAAAGACCCTTCCCATAGATCCCAGGGCTCCCAGTAGTAGTCTAGGGTACTAGTTGGGGGTTCTACTTTTGGATCCTCCCAGGGTCTGGGTATAGGCAACCCTACCAACCCTTTTTCAGCTCCCTAAACCCTAAACCCCAAACCCCAAACCCTAAACCCTAAAACCTAAACCCTAAGCCGTAAACCCTACCAAGCCTTTGTCAGCTCTCTAAATCTTAACCCCGTGTGCCAGAAGTTTGCGTGACCCCAAGCCAGGTTGACCCTAAACCATGAAGCCCCAAACCCTTGAGAAGCCTCAAAGCCTTCAAAGCCCTAAAACCCTAAACCCTAAACCCTAAACCGATGCGCCCTAAACGCACCCTTGCAAGGGTCGTCTTCACTATGACGCCTTAGTACTCTGAGAGACGTAGAGCCCATGCAGTCGGCTTTGAAAGCCCTCCACCAGGCGAGGGAGCACCTTCTCAAGTTGCTTTCATGAGCTTTAAGCCCCTGAACCTTAAACCTTGAACCCCCAAAACCCTAAACTGGCCCTAAACCCTAAACCCTAAACCCTAAACCCTAAACCCTAAACCCTAAACCCTAAACCCTATAAGCCCTAAAGCCAGACCCTAAGCCCCAAACCACACCGAAAATCAACAATGGCCGACTGAGACTCCTCAAGGGAAACTGCTGTCACCTTCCGAGGATGGGTAGATAGGCCCGTCAGTGTCCCAGGTTCATGGGGGGCTTAGGGCTTAGGGCTTAGGGTTTAGGGTTTAGGGTTTTGGGGTTTGGGGTTTAGGGTTTAGGGTTTAGGGTGTGTGCCAGAGCCTCTCAATGAACAGAAACTTGAAGGACGCATGCAACAAACACAGTTGGGTGTTTCAGGGCCCTGCGGGTGTAGTTGTTGAAGTGGCTATTCATGGCAGAAGTTGTTCAATGTGCAACAGCTTGTTGAAACCACGACTTGGAAGTAGTGGGCTCGCAAAACACCCAGACGCTAGGGTCCCCCTCCAAACTTTATCTGGGACCCAGAGTAGGTCCACATTCCCCTTTTAAGGCGGGTTCCCTTACGAGCCCCTTCAAACCAAAAAGGGTCCCCTGCTGATTCCCAGGTCACTCTTGGGTAGGGTCATGAGCAGCTTCGCAATCTAAGCCGCCCTCCACCCTAAAGCTAAAAACCTACTTACACAATGACTGCTTCAGTGGTTTTTGGGGCTCAGGAATCAATTCGGGCTTAGGGTTTAAGGTGCGAGTTTGGGAATGAAAGCTTGCCCCCAAACCTTAAAACCTAAGTTTAACCTTTTGATCATAAGGTTCTTAAGGCAGGGGGGTTCAAGGGGGATGTGTAACCCAAGGTTCTCTATTGCTCCCCGCTACTCCCCAAGGCTTCCTAAGCTTCCCTAAGGTTCCCTACACCTAGGGGACTTCTAACAAATAGTTATAACTGGGGTTATAAGTACCCTTGAACCTCCAGGTAGGGTAAAGCCCTAAACCCTCAACCCTCAACCCTAAACCCTAAACCCAAAACCCTAAAACTAACCTTTCAACCCTAGGCTAGGCCAGGCCACATCTCAAACAGTTGCGGGTCTATCTGCCGGTCGTAGCTATCGGAAGCGCCACCCGCACTGCGTTGCTTGCGTCAAGCGAAAAAAGTGCGAGAAGCTGCCGATTTTGGGGGGTTTAGGGTTTTAGGGTTTTAGGGTTTTGGGGCTTAAGGTCTTTTTTTGGTTTTTTAGGGTTTAGGGTTTTAAGTTTTAGTGCTTAGGGTTTTAGGGTTTCAGGGTGTTATGGCTTTAGGGCTTCAGGGCTTTAGGGTTTTAGGGTTTTAGGGTTTTGGGGTTTTAGGGTTTTAGGTTTTAGGGTCTAAGGGTCTAAGGGTCTAAGGGTCTAAGGGTCTAAGGGTCTAAGGGTCTAAGGGTCTAAGGGTCTAAGGGTCTAAGGGTCTAAGGGTCTAAGGGTTTAGGGTTTCAGGTTTAGGGGCTGTGTAGGGTTTAAACCCTAAACCCTAATTCCTGTTTTTTGGGTTTTGGGTTCGAGGATTGGCTTTTGCAGGTCTTTGGGCTCACGAGCTTGAACCCTCAGTCCAGAGCAGTGCCAAGGGCGCAAAGTGTAGGATCCAAGGGTTTGGGGTTTAGGGTTTAGGGTGTGGGGTTTAGGGTTCAGGGTTTAGGGTTCGGGGTTTAGGGTTTAGGGTCTAGGGTTGAGGGCTGAGGGTTGAGGGTATAGGGTTCAGGCTTTGAAAATGCCAACTAAGGCGGAATCCCAAAGTCTGAATACCGGAACACGTGACACCGACGGTGCCCAAAGGGCATGCAAAACCCTAAACCCTAAACCCTAAACCCTAGACCCTAAACCCTAGACCCTAAAGCAGGCATGCTTTGCCGGAAGCACGTCAGCATTTGGTCGCCGGACCAGCTTGCCCCTTGGCCTTCTGCAAAAGAAGGGTTTAGGGTTTAGGGCTTAGGGTTTAGGGTTAGAAGGTCAAAAGGGCTCAGGGTTCTCATGGGGGTTTGATTCGGTACATCTGTTGTGGTTGAGGTTGAGGCTGAGGTTTGTCGGGGTTTGGGGTTGATATAAGCCCTAAACCCTAAACCCTAAACCCTAAACCCCAAACCCCAAATTTTTCCTTTGGTTTAGCACGGACTCACTCGGCACGTTCGGGTTTAGAGGCCTACTTCGGGTTGATAGAAACCCTGAACCCTAAACCCTAAACCCTAAACGCCAAACCCGAAACCCTAAGCCGGAAACCCTAAACCCCAACCCCCAAACCCCAACCCCTAAACCCTACTTAACCCAAACCTCAGGTGGCTTGAGGGTCGTAGAGGCACTAGCAGCCCTTGGCAGTCCCTACAAACCATGGTTTAGGGTTTGGGGCTTAGGGTTTTGGGTTTAGGGTTTAGGGTTGAGGGTTTAGGGTTTAGGGTTTGGGGTTTATAAGGTTTAGGGTTCAGGGTTTAGGGTTTGGGCCTTAGGGATTACGTAGTCTTTGGGGCTCAGGCTGGTTCAGGGGTGTTTCCAGTTCAGGCATTTAAGTGGGCTTGCGAGCTGGCTGTCAGGTTCTAAGGTTTAGGGTTTCCGGGTTTAGGGTTCAGGGTTTCCGGGTTTGGGGTGTCGGGTTTTGCTACCAGCCAACCGGCCCCATCTGCAAAAGACCTCCACTACAGGTGGCTGGCATCGTAAGGGTCACAGCGCTGAAGATCAGCGTGGGCCACTACGCCAACCAGGGGTGGGGAGGCCAAGCGTTTTTGTCGAGGGCCTTTGTGGGGTTATAGGGCATGTTTGAGGGATTAGGTTTCTTTGTTTTTGCCAGGCTGTTTGTGTCGGGGTTCTAGTTCTTCTGGAGGTTTGCCAGGGATTT